CCACGATGAACTGTATCAATCACATTTGAATGATATATTGTAGATGATTTTGGATCAAAGTTTAGATTAAAATACCAAATAAAACAAAAAATCTGAGATCAATTGTAATAAATAAAATATGCCACTGTATAGAAAATATGTTGCAGGCTGCCCAGAAAATTTTGAATGTTGCCGTTTTTTTTTTAAATATTCAAATGGGAAAGATTGCAGGCAAGTAATAGGAATGCATCAATTTGGTAAAATGCCTCAAATTGTCTCAAAATTTTTAAATATGCCAAATGCAGATAAATACATAGGACATTGTTTCCGTCGACCATCTGCAACCATTTTGGTTAATGCTGGGGCAGATTTTATTATATTGAAGAGACAAAGAGAAATTTGCTAATAGTAGGAACATTATTAAGAAGATATAGCAATAATGTCGCCGATTTTTCGAGTAAAGTTCAACCAATGTAAAATAGTTGTACAAACTGCAACATTAACTATAAATATAAAGTTATAATAAACGTTTAATATGTTCAATAAATATGTTATATTTATTTGCCTGCGTGTATTTATGAGTTTTTACTGTATAAAATATAGATAAAAAAAAACGGTACCGGAAAGTTAACTTTCCCCTAGTGTTTGCCGATGCAAGGATCTAAAATATTAGATGATGGTATTTTGGGGTCTGAAATTGGGTGCAAAACTACCCATTTCCGAAAGATTTCAGAAAAAGCCTTTTTTTTCCTAAATTTCCTAAAATCACTTTTTTTCCAACCTCTAAAGTGACATTTCCCCTTAACTGTATAAAAAAACAATGTATTAGGTATCAATCAGTTCGTAAAAAAACAGGTTAGTTCACTTACTGAAGCTGACAAATAATGTTCCGTTGCAAAAAAATATTATATCATTGTAGCAACCTTATTGGTAAATATAATTTTATTTAATTTTTCAAATAATTTCTTGTGTAAAAGTGGCTTCAATAAGTTTGGAACAATAGAAGATCAAAAATTGTTTAAATTTCAATTTGAAATGAATTTCTAACTAAAATGGTGGAACTAAAATAATAAAAATACAGTGAAAATTGGTTATAACAACCTTAGTCCAAGCATTCTGTCACGGATTAATGTTAAATTTGCAGAAATTATTACCTGGACAAAAAAAATATGACCGTATAGAAAATTAAATTTTAAATTGAGTTTCTTGATATTTAAACTCGATCCAATATGGCGAACATGGTTAAAAAAAATCGCAAAGTTGGAAAAAACGGTTTTTCTAAAATAACTAAAAAAATATAGCATGGATTGAAAAATTTTAAATGAGAAAGTTGTAGGTTTTAAAAAGATCTATCGACAGATTTTTTGAAAGTATCGATTGCTTTGTTACTTTTCGAGATATATGGAAAAAACCGTTAAAAATCTTCTCTTTTCTCTTCTTCTATAACTCGTTTACATTTACTTGCCCATATTTGCTATTTACTGCAAGCATAGCCCACGGCAAGCCAAAAAAGTACATTTTTGAAAAATTTAAAAATATGAATTATTTTTCGAGATATATCGATTTTTTGAAAAAAAGGCGCTCTCGAAAATTGGCTAGATCTTCTCAGCGGATAGCCCTACAGTAACGATTTTCGGTTAATTTTTTTCGTAAAGAGTTACATTATCATGCTGTTAAAAAATGTTGACGATTTTATTAATTTTAAGGATCAAAAAATGACTGAAAATGTTGCACTTTTTTTGGGTATTTTTTTTTCAAATAACTATTTCAATTTTTATTATTTTTTTGTACTTAATCTGGGGTAGCTAAACACGAATATTATAGCATTTTCGCCTTAGAAGCAAAATAGACCCGTAAATGTTTAGTTTTCTTTCTTTAAAAGTCATTTTCATAAAGTAAAAATTGAAATAGTAATTTGAAAAAAACATACCCAAAAAAGTGCAACTTATTCAGTCATTTTTTGATACTTAAAATTAATATAATCGTCAACATTTTTAACAGCATGATAATATGACTCTTTACGAAGAAAATAAACCGAAAATCGTCATTGTAAGGCTATCCGCTGAGAAGATCTAGCCAATTTTCGAGGGCGCCTTTTTTTCAAAAAATCGATATATCGAAAATAATTAATATTTTTAAATTATTTTTCAAAAATGTACTTTTTTGGCTTGCCGCGGGCTATACTTGCAGTAAATAGCAAATATGGGCACGTAAATGTAAACGAGTTATAGAAGAAGAGAAAAGAGAAGATTTTTAACGGTTTTTTCGATATATCTCGAAAAGTAACAAAGCAATCGATACTTTCAAATAATAAGTCGATAGATCTTTTTAAAACCTACAACTTTCTCATTTAAAATTTTTTAATCCATGCTATATTCTTTTAGTTATTTTAGAAAAACCGTTTTTTTTCAACTTTGCGATTTTTTTTAACCATGTTCGTCATATTGGATCGAGTTTAAAGAACAGTAAACTCCATTTAGAATTTAATTTTCTATACGGTCATATTTTTTTTGTCCAGGTAATAATTTCTGTAAGCATGTCTCTATAATGCTTGGACTACCTTCAAGCGACAGTTTGTTTACAGTTGTTATAATCGACAGACGTATTAAGCAATTATATATAGGGTGTATTACGAAGAGGACCCAGTAGGATTATCTCACAAAGTAGTCAGAATTGAAATGTGAAAATTTGTGTACAGGGGTTTATCAAAAAGATCTATTCAATGAAAATAGTGTCGACATCCTCGCACTTTCGGTTATACCGGAAGTCATCATCAGCTCTGTTATTTCAAATGTATATTTATGCATTTTTTTAATTCTACGGCAAATTCTAGACTATTTTCATATAAAGAACTTTGGGCCAAAATGTGGCAGTTTTCAAGTTATTATTAATTTTTGAAAAAAATTGAGGTATATGTGATTTTTGAAAATAGAATAACTCCGACATTTTGCTATATTTATTAATGAAATTTGGCATGGATTATTTAAAAGCAATGGAATTCAACCAGTTTATGTCAGAATATTTAAAAATGTATGGCCAATATTGTGACGAAGTTGAATTTCAAATTACACCTTGTCTATTATAACATTAATGGATGCAGAATTAAATTTACTTTAAAATGACTATAGTTCCCTATGCCCAAAGTTAACAGTTCTTGTGTAAATTGGAAATTATTGATTTCAACACAGAAAAATCTACAAGTATGGTGGGTTTATTTAAAGCATCGCTCTTTTTAATTTAATATACTGAATTATTGTTTTTGATGAAGGTTTAAAAATAATAAAAATTACAGTTCATCAGACACTGTTTATTATTCAATTCTTTAGTGCATCAAATCCACCATACATTTTTCTGTGTTAAGGAAGTTTATCGGGTACGGAGGTATGTCTACAGTCTAACGAAAGTTTCTGTAGATTCACTAGTGACTAAAGTAGTAAGCCTTTAGATTTGGCAACGTTGCACTTGGCTGGCGCGCTCGTCTCGGCGTTCGCTCGCTCCCGTTCGATCATCTTATTTGGACACCTGCGAATTTCAAATAATACGCTACGTCGAGACCGCGGCGTTGCCGCTGTCACGCATATGGAGGTCAATTGTTGCGCATTCTAAGTGGAAAGACCAAAAAATCTGCATTCTCATAAGGCTGTACTAAATCGTGAAAAATTATTTTATTAATATCTCGTCTCTTAGGTATCCGAACTACTCATAATTTTTTATGAGGATTTTCTTCATATTAATAAGCTTATATTAATTTTTTTATGAATATTTGTTCGTCAATTCCAAATCGGATAAACCTCCTTAAAATAAATAATTTCCAATTTACACAAGAACTGTTAATTTGGGTATAGGGAACTATAGTAACATTTTAAAGTAAATTTAATTCTGCATCCATTAATGTAATAATATACAGGGTGTACCATTTGAAAAATTTGAGTATTCAACTTTAACGTCACAATATTGGTCACACGTTCTTAAACACTCTATATATATTTTTGCAAATTTCACATGACTGGTTGAATTCCATTGCTTTTAAATTATCTGTACCAAATTTTATTAATAAATAAAGCTAAATGTCGGAGTTATTCTGTTTTCAAAAATCACTTGCATCCCTCAATTTTTTTCGAAATTTAATAATAACATGAAAAGTGTCACATTTTGGCCTATAGTACCTTATATGAAATTAGTCTAGATTTTACTGTAGAAAAAATGCAAAAATATACAGTGTTCCATTTGAAATAACAGAGTTGATGATGACTTACACTATAACCAGAAGTGTGAGAAAGTTGATACTATTTTCATTGAATAAACCTCAGTATACAAATTTTCAGATTTCAATTTTGACTACTTTTTGAGATAATATCCTACTGAGCCCTCTTCATGATACACCCTGTATATTCTATTTAAAATTTTTATAGAAAACATGAGTTTACAATACAAGTCTTTAAGTATGTACATGTATAACTTTGTGTTCAAAAGATCTCGTGTGCTTCATTTTCAATTAACTGTTTTCGAATAGACTATTTTATTTCTATCCTTCCAAATTCTTGAAATCGTAGTGTGAAGCCCCACATTCTTTTGTTTGCTTGCATTAGTTTCCCTGTTTTCTAGTCTCCATATTATATGTGATTTTTCATCATTATTAAACACTTTTCTCTTCATCATCATGATAGAAAGTGGTAATTAATATATATAATATAACTGTATGCGTAGATAAGTTGTAATTTGTCCCAAACGTACTAACTGGTGTCAAAAGCCCGAATGCTGGCAGAGCGGGCGGAAGAGCGGTGCATTGGTTTTTAAGGCCATATAAAGTAATGTCCTTATAACCAATTTTCACTATATATAGAAAGTCCTATATAAATTTTCCAGTTAGCAGTGATAAAAAAATCAATATTTACTCTGAATTCTCAATATGATTATTCTTTCTGCCTTAAACTTTCACTCCAAACTGAATTATTAATAAAAAAATAATAATAAAGATGTTTTAGTGTTACTGTGAATGTGATATTAACATGCAATTTGTATAATTAAAGGTATATTTTCAGAAATACATATAATGTATTTTATGAATATTCAAAAAACAATCCTAAGAGAATAATTTCATCTACTTATTATTTAGGTTTCGGAGCAATTTTCTTCACCAACTTCTTTTTCTCTAACAATCCTTTGTTAACCTTACGTTTCTAAAACAAAGTACAATTCATTTTGATATATAAATACTTATCTGGTTTAATTAAAATTGCTTACTTTCTTATCGCTAAATTTTGCTCCCTGAAATTCAGCATTTATCTGTTTCACTTTATTTTCAGGCTCATTTGCCACTTTATCTGATCGCCTGTTAGTCTTGTTTTTTAGTTTCTTTTCTCCAGGTTGGGTAGCCTAAAAAATTAACATACAGGGTGTTGCAAAACTGTATGGGTGATACTCTATCCAAAAATAAGAAAGGAGTTCATATACCGGGTGATTCAGTTTAGTATTCGCGGCCCTGTATCTCTTTTATTTTAACAAATAGCTATGCCAAACCCTATATATTTTTAAGTCGCCGCTCAAACTCTATCAAATGACATTATTAGATCGTCTCCATGGTAACATATGTCAAAATTGCTATATCGACTGTTTTTATTCAAATGGCACACTATATATTTTTTTATCAATTATGGAAGATATTTTTTTTTTCTGCGTTCAGCTATGTAAGGAAACCTATAGTTTTATCAGAAATATTGCTAGAAAACAGCAGAAAAGATGAACCAGCTACGGAAACAAGCTACTATGTTTTTTAAAGTAACATATTTTATTTTTAATACGATAATAATATAACAATTTAAAACAATAGTTATTTCAAATGTTCAAAATGACCTCCATTTGCTTCCAAACACAGAACTCCCTCTCTATAAACACATTCTAGTGTTTCTTCATTTAATCCCTTCTACTCTTATTCTGCTTTTAAGGTCGTCAATATCATTTAGGTAAGGCCAAAGAAAGAAATCTATAGGAGTGAGATCCATTTAACATCTTTATCGAATGTTCTTCATCTCTTGCCCTTCTGGGTTTAAAAACTCTTTCTTTTAAAAACTACCATCTGCCGCCAAATTCCTGTCCAACTTTCCGAAAATTTTATCTGTTGGAAGTTGTCTCTGGAAAACGATGTTGCTATAAATACCTGACAGCTTTAGCGTTCTTTCGGTCCTCTCCATAAATTAAAATCATATCTAGTTTTTCTTGTTTACTGTAGTATTCATGTTATAATTAATTATAGATAGAATAGGTAGGTACAAAATGTCAATTATTTTGACAAACCGTTGTTTAGAAACGTCAAAATTCAGTTGTTTCCGCAGTTGGCTATCATTTTTCAGAATAAAACTATTGAAAGTAGGGTTAATCTTTTTTGCTGTTTTTTATAGTAATATTTCTAATGAAGCTATAGACTTCCTTATATAGCCAAACGCAGAAAAAAAATATCTTCCAGAATCGATAAAAAATATAGTGTCCCATTTAAACAAAATCAATTGACTATAGCAATTTTGACATATCTTATCATGGAGACGATCTAATAATGTCATTTGATAGAGTTTAAGCGGTGATTTAAAAATATATAGGGTTTGTTATAACGAGCGTTCAAATAAAAACGTGGTCAAAGTTGGCTCTGACACATTGGACGTAGGGAGTAGCTTATAGCGACCAACTTAACCTCATTTCTCAACGAGCTGTATGGCACCTGTCAGTTTCAATAACGTTAATGACTATATAACTTTATTTTAAAGAATAATCGTGATAACAATAACAAACAATTAAAGGAGCTGCAGAAAGTGTCTCCCTCCTTGTTATAACAATAAATTAAAGCAGCTGCTGAAAGTGTCCCCCTCCTTGTTCCAAGCACTTTTCACACCTGTTCTTCAAAGAATTAGACATTTTCTAAGATGCTCAGGGTATTGTTAATTTCACGAATCTTGTCTATAAGTCGAGCCTGCAGATGGTTTAAATCAGGAATAGGCAGTTCAAAAATAGTGTTTTTAAGGTAAGGCCACAAAAAGAAATCACACGGCGTAATATCACATGACCTCGGTGGAAATTCATGTTCAGCATTGAGACTTATTAGTCGATTTTGGAAAACTTCCCTCAACATATTCATCGTCTCGCCTGCCGTATGTGCCCTTGCGCCATCTTGTTGAAAGTAAAAGTTTGTAATTTCGTTTTCTTCCAGCTGGTTAACAAAAGGAGCGATAATTTCTTCTCTATACCTTTGCGCAGTAAGAGTACCATTAAAAAAAATAGGTCCATAAATCCTCCTTCGATTGAGAGCACACCAAACTCCAATTTTTTGAGCGTGTAGAGGGCCCTCGACAAAAAAGTTATCTGGTTTTTCAGAAGACCACATTCTCATATTCTGTGAGTTTACGTAACCACTTAAATGAAACCAGGCTTCATCAGAAAAAAAGGTGATATTATGAAGTTCACCGTAGTTGTTTAAAAACCATTCACAAAATACAGCCCGTCGCGGAAAATCAACTTCATGAAGTTCTTGCTGACAAGTTAAACGATAGGAGAACAAACGCAAATCTTTTTTTAACACTGTGTGGCAGGTACCGACTGATACTCCCACCATTTGTGATAAAACACGTACAGAAGTTCTTGGCGCATTTTCCATTATTTGTTGGACATTTTCTTTTAATTCTTCAGTCCGCTTTTTAGGTCGGCCGCTTCCTTCTTTTCTTGTTACACTGCCCGTTTCACGAAAAACATTAACACAACGCTGAACTGCACTTTGAAAAATTTTGTACTCAACAACGCCGGGAAATTGATTTTGAAATTCTATGAAACATTCCTCAATAGAATACTTCCATATTCCATCAATCTTGCGTCCATTTCTAAAGTAGGACTCTATGATAAACACTTTTTGTTCTTGAGAAAACACCATTTTAAACGCTTTTTAAAACGAAAATATTCAAATTGATAGCGGCGATATAGCGCTTTGACAGATGACGTTTAAGTTCATTTGCTATACGCTACGCCCTACATCCAAATTTTCAGAAGCAACTTGACCACGTTTTTATTTGAACGCTCGTTAGCTATTTGTTAAAATAAAAGAGACACGGGGCCGCGAAAATCAAACTGAATCACCCGGTATATATGGGTCCTTCTGGATGGAGAAACGGTCAACAAAGAATATTATCTGGCCGTTATAAGGCATTTGAGAGAGAGTATCCGCTACAAAGACCGAATTTATGGAAGGACATTTCTTGGATTTTGTACCATGACAATGCACCACCATAAAGCGATAATTCTGAATGTATTTTTGGCCAAAAATTCGAACGATTGTCATCGAGCAGCTACCATATTCGCTGGATATGGCTCCTGTGATTTTTTCCTCTTTCCCAAATTCAAATGACCACTTTGTGGAACACGTTTCAAATCAATAGGAGTTGAAGTTCATATGAGAATATGCATCTAAAATATGCTTGATGACTGGGTTATTTGTTGGGAAAAGTGTATTGCTTCAACTGGCGCCTATTTTGAAGAAGAGAAAATAAATTTTGATTATTAATTGAATATATTGTTTTATTGACAAATTCTGGACATTTTTTTGGTAGTATGTATATTTCAAATTTAAGACAAAAAAAATCTAATATATTTCTCTTTCTACTATTTCCATGAATTTTTTAATTCTTTTGATAAGAGATTTCCAATAATACAATGACAATGATTGCGACAACGGATTGGGCTTTAAAAAAAAATTAAACTTTGAGACCTTGTATCTTTTTCCACAGCAACATTAGCTGAGGTATATTTAGTTGTCTTCATATTTTGCCCCAAAGACTTCATCTCTACTCTTTGGTCCATTAGGTATTATTGGTCACTGTGTATAATCTAATATTTTTAATAATCTTAAATATAAAATCACTACCCTTTGGAATATAAATACTGCAAACCCCTTAGTTGAACATTTTGGTTTCCAGTAATTTATAACTTTAACAGTGCTTAAAGCTTTGAAGTTACATTGATACAACTGCATTTTGCACCGATACATCCACCTTATTGGATTTAATAATTGACAAAAATGTATCAGTTCCTTCTCTTCATATACTTTGTCATGTTTAAATAAATTCTTTTATAAAAGAATGTATTTTCACCATGTATACAAAAGACACACTTGGAATGTATGATCCGAAAGTTTTTGATACATAATCAAATTACCTTCTTATTATTTTTCTTCTTCTTGTTTTTCCTTGCTGAATTCAAATTACAGAGAGAAATACGCAGTTCTCTATCATTGAGTTTCACGTTTTCCATTTCAAGTGCTAACTGTACTGCATCAGAATCAAGGAAGTTTACATAACCAAATCCTTTGCCCATTCCCGTGTAATGGTCTCTAACAATTCTAACATAAGAAATTGGACCACAAGATTCAAAGAGTTTCCATAAATCATCTTCAATAGCATCTATATTACAAACAAAAAAGATGAAAATTATTCTCTAAGTAATAATTCACTAATGCAGAAAAAAACAAAAGAAATTCTCAATAACTCAATGAACTTTAATGACATCAAGGACGTCTCAATGTCACAAAGATGATTTAACAATATGAGTTCATGCATAGCATCAATGTTTTTTGGAACAACTGATTTTGTCACAAAATTTGTCTTCAGTGGTTTTTGATGGTGCTTGACTGGCAAAAGTCGAATTAAGTTTATCAATGCACTGCTGATGAGATAATTCACGTCGAAAGTTGTAAAAAATAATAGCACGGAAATGTTCACGACTTAATTCCATTTTTTAGCCGACAAGAATTTTTCAAGTCGTATAATCAACACAAATAGCGCCTGCACGTCACAACTTTATGATAGGCGTGTTGGTTGTCAGATGGCAGCACCAGGATCGTCCATTCCCAAAATATAAAAGGCAAGCCTCTTATAATTGTATAGTTCTTTGTTTAGTATTAAAATTAATAGATAAAAATTAGAATATTAGTAATTTTGAAACTTGAGTTATTCAAAATAAAATAATTTAATTATAAGATCACAGCAACAGGTATTTGATAGAAATGAACTAAGCGAATGTCTATACTAGATTTCAATACTACCTAAATTTGTAAAAAACTGCCAAATGATTTATGTTAATGCAACAATTAATTTTTATCAAGCTTATTCAATAGTTTAATAATATCAGGTATGATAACCAGTAGATGAACAGTACTTACTGAAACTTAAATTTCCAACAAAAATAGCTTTAGTTTCATCTGGTTTCTCTTCTGTTGTACAGGAATGTACTCTCAAATGATGTTCTTCAAACAATGAACCATTTTCAGCTTCTGCCTTTAATGCCGATTCCTTGTCTGCAAATCTATAAAAAAATTCAACAAATGCTTCAATGTATGAAAGATTAAATGGCAATTAAAGGACATGGGTTTTCATTATACATATTAAATACAACAGAATAAAAAATACCCAGAAGTATTAGACTGATTGTGAAACAACAGGAGAGAATCATTTTTTAAAGATATTGTAGGTGTAACATATTTGGAAAGATTAAAGGTAAACATGAAATAATTTTATTTTTCATATTTATTTATTTGTTAAAACTACTTGAATAGAGTAAATTTTATTTTTTTTTATTTCTATGAAAATGAGCATTTTTATATATTGTAGACAAAATGAACACTTCGGCAACAAATCTCATCTATTGGCCACCATTATCCCATTGCGGTACTCTATCAATATGGGATTCTATTACAAAAAGCAGAGAGAGAGAGAGAGAGAGAGTAGAGAAAACATAGTTGATGGCTTGGGCTCAAATTAAAAAAAAATTGAATTTTGACTAGTACAAAAATATAGTACATTTTTAATTTTTGAATGTATTTTATGAAAATTTTATAATTTTGGAGTTCATTTATTTTTACTTTTTTGCATATAGATCCGGTTTTTCAGTAATGATCCAAACTCATTTATTTAAATGTTACACTAGTATTTTTCTCAATATGAGTATCAGATTGACAGCTGTATCAGACTTTCTATCAAATTATGTTTAATAAAATTAATGTTACAGTATAGTTTTAAAATAATAATTTAATCAATGTATTTACAAGACTAAGTAAACAGGACTTTTTAAGAAGAACAACAAAAAGTTTGTTTGGCAAAACCTATTTATTTTATTCAAATACAGCGATTTGCAGTGTAAAAACATGTTGAATGAGTGTTTTAGATCGTTGACCGGGATGTCCTTGATGATGTCGGTACAAGCCTATTGGATGGCTTCTACGTCCACAAAACGTTTTTCTTTCACCAGCAAATACATTTGAAAGGTAAAAGTCTCACGGTGCCAAATCAGATGAATAAAAGGAATGGTTGACAGCTAAAATCCTATTTTTAGTCAAAAAATCAGTCACAAGTGTTGATTGATGACATGGCACATTATCGGGCAACAAACGGCAACTTCCTTCTCTGCGATATTCTGACCAAATGCGATGAATACGATGCAACAAACACTTCAAAATACCAAGATAGAATTGTGCATTAACGGTTTGGCTTGGTGGAACAAACTCTTTGTGGACAATCTTCGAATCGTAAAAGCAAATCAACATTATCTTCACTTCTGATTTCTCCAAATGAGATTTTTTGGGTTTTGACTCGTCTGGTGTCTTCCACTCAGCACTTTGGCATTTCTGGATCACAATGTTGTAAATAATGTTTTTGTCCTTTTTGAGCCCCTTGATGATGTCCTTCGAATGTTGAATTCTGAGCAATTTTTGGTCATCAGTCAACTTGTGTGGAACAAACTGTGCACACACTTTTCAGTAGCCCAAATGTTTGCCCAAATCCAATAAACTGATCTCTGCTCGAAATGTTCAATTTCAATTCCATGAATTTCAATGAAGATTTTGGTTTATCTTTAATTAATTCACAGACAGTTTTGATGGAATCTGCGAAGATCATGGATTTCGGTTGACCAACGTGATGCTCATCATTTATGTCATCACAACTGTTTTTAAATTAATGTATACGACTCAAACTCTGCCACGTGATAAACAATCATCACCATAAATTTCATCAATTAAAACATTTCAGTAAAAGTTTTACCAAATTTAAACCGAAACCTAATATTAACTATTTGCTCGATGCTCATTTTTGTACCGATGATAAACATAATGTCAATAGATAAAAGCCTTTGGAACGCACCTTGTATATTATGATACCAGTACCAGTATCCGAATACTAACACCGGCACGGATATTGAATAAAATTATTGATATATCTAACCAATCTCAATGTTTTATATTTTTTTTATTGAATGGAAGCTTAAAAAATGTTATGTAGCAAACTGAAAATAATTTGAAAATAAAGTCAAGTTTTTTATGAACTGTAGTGTTTAATTTCATAGTAATATGACATCACCAATGCCTTCACATTTTAAAAGAGTGAACAATTAGATATTTAAAAAAGGTGTTTCCGGTCATTAAATAATGTTTGTTGTGAATTGGGACATTTGCAAGGTCCACAAAAATGAATAATGAAAATATTTCTTATCCACTGTAAATGACACTGATCCTGGCCAAATGTCTGATGCAAATAATTTCTTGAGGTCTATGTTGCTGATGTTGGAAATAATAATTATTAGAATATCAAATAAATATTACATTTAAAGAAAACTTCAAGAACTTTTTCCATTGGAACAGATTTTCAGATTTTTCCAAATAAAATCCAAATTAATAAGAAAGGAATTGTTTTTTTAAATGGTATGTTGATAAGTACTAAATTTGCAACTACTCCAACATAAAATGTTTTTTGTGTCTCCTGTAAAATTTATTATTTAGGACTTAGCCTATATCCATACGCAGGTATATGTACCTATTTAAGGTATATTTAAAAAGTAATAAATTAAATAAATAGGAACACCCTGCATATTATTGTCTACATAGATTTTAATGGAGACTTTTTCTGGGTATCCGGAAATAAAATAAATGATTTGTATTAAATTACAGAATGTGTTAGTGAAATATACTACCACAGGTATAAAGTACAACAGGGTCCGTCTAATTGTGGACATTACCCACAATTTTAGGGGAAATTAGGCCAGCAAATCTAAGAAAAGGCACCTCAAAGAGGCAGTTTGTTGCTAAAATGATTATAATAGGGTAATAAAAGTAATACGTGTAATAAACAATAATGATAAATGCGTAATTAACCAGATCTGAAGGTGTCAATCATAGTGCTTCCTGGATCCTGATGATTTACAAACGTCAAAATTTGTAGGCGACAGCCATAGATTTAGTAGTATATGGATGGAGTCAAAGACCACTTTTTGCACATTTTAGCTGTTGCAACATGAACAGCGAAAGCGGCAGCGATTTGCCCTAAGTCACGTGACCTAGAATAAAATCGCTCTACAGAAATAATTTTTTTATAGTAACAATAAAAAAAATACTGTCAAATTTATGTGCCAAATTCGTAATAACACTTAATACCACGTACTTAATGGATATAACAAATCGCCCGTGATAAGTTTGAAAATGCTTTAAGTCACGTGATCCTAGACTAGTTTCATCTCACTTTACATGTTGTCCCCTATCCGCTCTCCTACATTCCATCCATAGTATACTAAATTAGATCTATGGCGACAGCCCTTACTTTGGCTTATCTGTTAGTGTATAGCTTATAAAATGAATGACACTACTTATATGGAAAATTATTAATGGCAACAATAATTGATAGCCACACTTTATAGTCAATGAAATAAGCTTACCTGATAAAACAATAAACATTACTTCTATTGGGATTAAATTCTTTCTTTATAGCAGCAACCTTTTTAGAAGTCTTTAAATCAGCTACAGGTATTCCTCTAATTCTTATAGTCTCTATTTTACCATATTTTTTAAAATGATTTTTGATTTTCTTTTTTTCACATGTAATGGGTACATTACCAACAAATATTGTTCTTTCTAACTCGGCAGGATCTTGAACTTTGTTTTCTCCCTTAATCTTATTCTTCACACGTCTTTCTGCATTTTGCTCATTTTTATTTACCTTTTGCTTTTTCAGAGGAAAAGCTTCATTGGTAGAATCACTTGCATCAAGTTGTAATTTCCTTTTCCTATTTTTCACTCTTTTTTTACCTTCAGTTAATTTGTTATTAGTAGAATCAGGACTTTCTGTCAGTTTATTTTGAATGGGCTTACTAAATTTTTGTTTCGGTCTGGTATTACCTTTTTTAAATTTTTTCGTGGTAGTTTTATCCAAGTTAGTACTCTCTTGTATTTTACTAACTTGATTATTTTTTTTAACCGCTTTTTTAATTACCCTTGGTTTATTTGGGGTGTTAGAACCACTTATTAAGTCTGCTAAGCTTCCTACCGAGTAATCCATATGGAATACTTAGAAAAAGTGATCTGAAATTAAATAATCAGTTACTGTGTGAAAATTTAGACATTTTTTTCAAAAATTACATGTTAATTATACTTTTTCGCTTACCAATTAAATACTATTTCAACACTCACTAAGTGTAATCAAAGTTAAATTGATTTATTTTATTACTAAGAACAATATTACTTATTTCATTATGCAGATTTGATATTTTAAAATTAATCTTAATCCACACAATTTAAACACATGTGAGTACATCCACAAAATTTATTTTTATTAGGTTATGTTTTCAAAATCGAAAGCTGTTTTCGGTTGTACCGGTGTAGGAGCAATTCAGAGTGCTTAAGGCTTCAGAGCACTCATTTAATTTTACACATTCCATTACATAGAGGAGTGTGATGCATAGGAGTGCTCTACTTTTATATCGCCTGGACCTCAGAAACACCAGAGATATTAGATATATCTTTGAGAAACACCAACCATTTTTTATGCAGATGAGGCTACAACAGAAAAACATTATTTTTAAGCGTGCAATTTACATTAAGTACATGTAAATAAAAAACTTATTTATTTTTTGTTATCAATATAACGATCAACAAATAAAGAATATAACGAATTAAAGTTTAAATTTCAGAATCAAAACGAGATGATTTATATGCGAGCAATTTGCGTTCAGTGGAAATAGTACCTATAAAAATTAAAAATAAAACAGGCTCGTGTATCATCAGCCCTGAGTTCGGCCTTCAACAGGGGACAGTACACTGGTGCTGTCTTCCTGGACGTCGCAAAGGCCTTCGATACGGTTTGGCATGAAGGCCTACTGATGAAAATGCTCACCAACCAATATCCCATATCCTTTACCAAACTCATAAAATCCTACCTACACCACCGAAAATTCCGCATCCAAATCCAAGATTCCCTTTCCACCACCCGTCCCATGGAGGCCGGTGTCCCCCAGGGCACCGTCCTGTCCCCACACTTATACACCATTTACAACTCCGACATCCCACATCCCCCCAACACCAACATATACTTATACGCCGACGACCTGACAATCACATCCCAATCCGTAGATCCTAGATATTCCGTCT